CTACCCCCCCGGAGCAGGCACAGCTCCCTCCCCACCCCACTGCACAGCTCCCCACCCGGCCCGCTACCCCCACACCGCTACCCCCCCGGAGCAGGCACAGCTCCCTCCCCACCCCACTGCACAGCTCCCCACCCGGCCCGCTACCCCCACACCGCTACCCCCCCGGAGCAGGCACAGCTCCCTCCCCACCCTACTACCTCCCACCCCACTGCACAGCTCCCCCCGCCCCACTACCCCCACCCACTGCACAGCTCCCCCTCTGCCCTGCTACCCCCGGCCCAACTGCACAGCTCCCCCTGCCCCACTACCCCCCCCCGGGGCCAAGCACAGCTCCCCCCACCCTACCGCACAGCCGCCCCCCACTACCTCCATCCCACTGCACAGCCACCCCCTCGCCCCACTACCCCCGGCCCCACCACACAGCTCCGCCCCCGCCCTGCCGAGCCCCAGCGCCCTGCGCTCACCTCTCCTCTCTCTTCTCTTCCAGGGTTCCCTGGCGAGCAAGGTGAGACCGGCTGGGGGGCGGGCAGTGGGCCGGGGATGGGGGACTTGCCCTGCGGCAGGGTCTGCCCTGCACCCCCCAGGAGCTGGCCCCACACGTGGGCAGCGGGGCTCGGCCTCTTGGTGCTAGAATAGGGCTGGCCTGGCTGGGGGGGGATGGGGCTGCCCCCCGTGCAGGGGGAGGGGGCTGTGGAGGAGCTGGGCACATTCTGGGATGGGGCCCCGGGCGCAGGGGGCAGGGAGAGCTGGGGCTGTGACAGGATGGGGGCCCCTGGGCACGGGGGAGGTGGGGGTGGGATGGGGCCCCGGGCACAGGGGGGATGGGATGGGGGCCCGGGCGCAGGGGGGATGGGCGAGGAGCTGGGGGGGACACAGAGCTGCCTGGGGCAGGGAGGAGGCTGGGGGAGGGGTCCTACGGGCACCAGGCTGACCCCATCTCTGTGCCAGGCCCGGTGGGCAAGGCGGACGTGTGGCCCAGAATCGCCTTCTCGGCCGCGCTGACGTCCCGGCACGAGGAGCCCGGAACAATCCCCTTCGACAGGCTGCTGGTGAATGACGGGGACGCCTATGACCCCTACACTGGTGAGCTGCGCCCCCCGGCCAGCCCTCCCATCCACACCCCATGGGGGGAGCTCCCTCTGGCTAGCCCTCCCCCCAGCTAGCCCCCCCATGCCCCACGGGGGGGAGCTCTCCCCGGCCAGCCCTCCACCCCACGGGGGGAACGCCCCACGGCCAGCCCTCGCCCCCACACCCCACGGGGGAAGCTCCCCACAGCCAGCACACCCCACAGGGGAGCTCCCCATAGCGAGCCCTCCTCCCACAGCAGTGACTGTGTCCACATCACCCCACGCCAGGGTGCCGCCCCTCGGGCTCAGGGGGGGCAGCAGTGGGCCGGGAGGGGGCAGGATTTAGGATTACTGGCAGTGCTGGGCCTCGGGGGCGCCCAGGGCTGGGGGTTGAGCTTGAGGGGGGACCCAGGGCAGGGGTAGCAGGGGCCTGTGCTTTGGAATTGGGGGCACTGGCAGAGATGTGTGTGGGGAGCCCAGGGCAGGGGTAGCAGGGGCTCATCGCGTGCTCAGCCCCCCGCCCCCAGCCCAGG